AAGAATCACAAGGAAAAGCAACTTCACTCCTCTGTCAAGACTGCAATGCCTCTTGAGACACCATGTTTTTAATGAGTTGGCTTTATATTCATGCTTTGGGTACACAATGTTTTGCAAGGCATCCATGTGCACTAACAGAAAATAAATGCACCCACCCACACCAGCAAAGCAGCTATCAGCTGGAGTTCTCTCTCATGTGTTCACATATTTTAAAAACAAACATTTGTCTCGCATAATGAGTGAAGTGACCTCAAATCCTTTGCTACAATGTGCTTAGTTCCTGCCTCTATGTAGGATGATTTTAATCAAATGCAAAAAAGACCCTCCACATACACAGTGAAGGCAACTTGAAACATGGAAGAAATTATGTGTTCAGATGTGCAAGCAGAATCACGCTAATATTGTCCCAACAAAGCATTAGATAGGCCAGAACGTTGCCAAGTCTTATATATGTAGCTTCTTAGGGACAACCAATCCAAATGCCATGAACATCATATTTAAATTATGGGCTGAGGGGACTGGCATAATTTTGTGTAATTGTTTAAAAAAAAAAACACAAATATATTTCAATTAGCAGTCTGTCATTTGCCCATATTCTGCCATCAGCAGAAGTCTTTGCCTTTTTCCACCAAAGAAATTCTGAGCAGAGCTTGCAATTAAACAAACAAACACACTACATTTCTCATAATGCCCCAGCCAGCATCGCCACTGACTAGGGGATTCTGGAAGTTGTAGTCCAAAGTGTATCTTTTTCACATTCTGATTCTTCATATCTGCTTCAGCTGTAATAACCAACATTCATGGAGTTTAGCTGGTCATTTCAGGGTGTTATTTCATTTCACTGATCAAATAAGACTTTTATTAGATCAATGGGATTCAAACTTCTTCAGTCCTAATGGTACAGCTTAATTCGATTCCACAACCCTATGTGGGGAAGGGGGGATAAGGTCTCGAGTTCAACAGGACTTACTTCCAAATAAAAATATTTAGGGTTATATTGTTAGTTATAGATCATAAAAAAAAATCATTTAGATTTGCAGTGCAATCTTGTGCATGTCTGATCAGATTTAAGCCCCACCGAGTTCAGTTGAACTCACTCCCATATACACTCACCTGTACATGTACATAGGAAAATAGTGAGATTTATATTTGACTAAACATGCATAAGATTGTACTGGCAGGCACAAAAAAGCTGTTCTGTCACTTTTTGAAAGTGGTCTCCAAAAGTTACCATTTGAGGTGTCTGATGTCAAAATCAAAATCATTCCTAATCATTCATTCAGAAAAAGAAAACTGGTTTTAAAGAAAACCAGGTAGAAGGGG